GGGGGGGGGTTTCTGCCAGCAGCGTCGGCGCACGTTCGCCTGATTTTCACCGTCTGGAAGCCGCCTCCCACCCGCCCCAGCTGCAGCTCATTCTGCTGCAACCACAGACTGAAAAGTACCGCGGAAAAAAAAAAAAATCCATGCTGTAATTCAAATGCAGCATAATCGCTAAGCTAAAGTTTATTATCAGGCTTCTGCAGTTTATAATTTGTCTTTTTATGTTTCGCCTTTACGATTTCGTGGCTGGAAAATGTAATATTTGATAAAAAATTTTTCCATTCTGTCAAAACTGGCGTCATTTATCACCAAAAGATGATTGTTTTCTCGTCCTAAAATCACAGTTCCTCCCGTCTGTTTAAAGCGAATCCCGAGTAAAGAGCGAAGGTTTGGTGTGGAGCTGAGAGGAGACGAGCACCTGTCTCTCTGTGAGGTCCAGGTTCACAGCGATCTCGTAGCGCCGGAGCCGGGTCAGGTAGTTGTGGTGGGTGAACTCGGCCTCCAGCTCTCTCAGCTGCTCCTTGGTGAAGGCCGTGCGCTCCTTCCTGGCCTTGCAGCTGGAATCCACCTTGAAACTGGAGTCCTGGATGTCTGCAGGGAGAAATGAAACGCGTCAGATGCTTTTCTGCTATTTCCTCCAAACCCATGAAGCAAACTCGTCAAACCGGCCGCCGAGTTTYAGTGGATTTGACGTGATCGTGTTTTTCTGATAAACGATGTTTGTGGAGCATTTGGTAACTCTCATGTCTTCTGTAGAGGAAACTCATAATTTAATTTAAATAATTTACATTTTAAATCAAAAGAGAACTTTCTCTCAAATAAATGTTGATTGAGACCATTTAAAAAAACGACTAATTGAAACCTGCAGGTTTGGCACTTATCTTGAATGTCTCTGCTGGTTTTTGAAGACTGGACCAGCTGAACTCGTTAGCAGTGACTAATTGCTCCGTTTTCATTTGTAGACTTTTATTTTTGCTCTTAATCTGAACTAAATGAGTTTTTTAGGGCTCAAACTCCAGTTAAGCGTTAAACAGAGCTGAAGGACCTTTCAAACTAACAAACCACAGAACCAAAGGTTTTTTTTTAATAGGAGCCCCCCCCCACCCAATAAAGTAAACACTAAAACCAGCACTTTAAAACGAGACCACCCTGACCTGGTCTTACGAGTCCTGTTCACCTGCAGCACCAAGCAGTCCTGGGCTTTTTTTTTGTTTTTTTTGCACTTGATTATATTTATGTGTTTCTAAATGAAAGTCAATCCACTTTAGCCCATGTGAAGAGTCATTCATGGTGTGTGTCTGTGTGTGTGTGTRTGTGTGTGGGTTAACACGTGTGTGTGACGGGATCAGTGCAGAGCAGGGGCCACCAAACGGGCCACAGAGGGACTGAGTTAGGAGAGGAATGCAGCGGAACATCGTTAAAGCATCCAGGAGAAGAACAAAGGTGCGGATGTGTCCAGGTCTGAGTGTGTGTGTGTGTGTGTGTGTGTGTGTGTGTGTGTGTGTGTGTGT